TTCTTTTTTTAGAGCAAACTATAAAAACTTTGAAAAACATTTTACAATGTATTTTTTCATCATATTGATATTCAAAAAAGTGCAATTTATAATACTTTTCTTATAGTTTTTGAATATGTAATTTTTTTGTTTAAAATTGAATTAATGTAATCTAATTTAACTTTAAAAATTAGTCAAATTGACTTTCGAAAAATGTACCATAACAAATAAAAATGGAAGTAGGAAGTATATAATATTGCTTGTTGCAATACTTGAAATATTTAAAAAGTGTTGTAAAACTTAAGGACAAAAGAACAATATAAAGAGGAAGAGAAGAAGACTATAAGACAAGAGGAACAATATAAACTAACATTCTTTCTTTCAAGTGTATTCAACATTATTCTCAACACCACTATTTATAGGATTACATTGAGGAATACCAAAAGGTGTCATAAACATTACATTAAACCTTGAGAATTACTACCCATTAAGGAGGAAATAAACCTAGGAGTTATGGTCATCCAATTAACCATATTATCAACAACATTACTACCAATAAAGGATGAAATTAACCTAGGAGTTATGGTCATCCATTTGACCACATTATCAACAACATTACTACTCATAAAGGAGGGAAATTAACCAAGGAGTTATGGTCATCCATTTAACCACCAAAATGATTTACAACACTCCCCCTTGGATGACTATTGATAGATAATATGCCTCGTTAAAACCTTACTAAGAAAAAAAACCTGTGGAAAAAAAAAATCTTAGTGAAGGACAAAAGAGTACACATATCTTGTAATACGCTTTGTTTGCTGCCTCGTTAAAAACCTTGCCAGGAAAACCCATTGGGATAAAACCTAGGTCAAGGGAAAAAGAGTGCAGCGCGTAGTTTACTCCCCCTGTTGTGAACATCATTTAATTTCTTGGAGACGACGCATTCCAATCTTGAATACCAACTTTTCAAATGTTGAGGTTGGTAATGCTTTAGTGAAAAGATCCGCTAAATTATCAATTGAGCGAATTTGTTGAACATTTATTTCACTTTTTTTTTCAAGATCATGAGTGAAAAAGAATTTTGGTGAAATGTGTTTTGTTCTATCTCCTTTAATATATCCTCCCTTCAGTTGAGCTATACATACAACACTGTCTTCGTATAATGTAGTTGGAATATCTTTTTCCATAGAAAAACCACACATTTCTTGAATATGTTGAGTCATTGATCTCAACCAAATACATTCCCGACTCGCTTCATGGATGGCTATTATTTCAGCATGATTTGAAGAAGTAGCAGCTAATGCTTGCTTCATTGAACGCCAAGATATAGCTTTGCCTCCATATGTAAATAAATAGCCTGTCTGAGATCGAGCTTTATGTGGATCAGACAAATATCCAGCATCTGCATAACCAATCATTTTTGACTTGGATTTATTAGAATAAAATAATCCCATATCAATGGTTCCCTGAAGATATCTTAATATATGTTTGACTCCATTCCAATGTCTCTTTGTTGGAGACGAGCTGAATCTTGCCAATAAACTTACTGCAAAACAGATATCTGGTCGAGTATTATTAGCAAGATACATAAGCGCCCCAATGGCACTAAGATATGGAGTTTCATTGCCAAGAAGCTCTTCATCATTTTCTTGAGGTCGAAATGGATCTTTATGTATGTCAAGCGATCTCACAACCATCGGGGTACTCAATGGATGTGATTTATCCATGTAAAATCGCTTTAAAACCTTTTCTGTGTATGTTGATTGATGAACAAATATTCCATTTTTCAAATGCTCAATCTGTAGGCCAAGACAAAGTTTTGTCTTACCAAGATCTTTCATTTAAAATTCTTTTGTTAAACACTCAACAGCTTTTGAAAGCTCTTTATGAGTGCCAATGATATTTAAATCATCAACATATATAGCTATTATAACAAAATCAGATCCAGACCTTTTTATAAAAACACAAGGACAAATAGGGTCATTTCTGTACCCTTCCTTTAGCAAAAATTGGCTAAGACGATTGTACCATATTCGCCCTGATTGTTTCAATCCATATAAGGATTTTTGAAGCCTTATCGAACAATTTTCTTGCGAATTTTTATATGCGTCAGGCACATTGTATGTTTCAGGAACTTTCATGAAAATATCGTGGTCCAATGAGCCATATAAATAGGTTGTGACAACATCCATTAGACGCATTTCAAGCTTTTCATGAACTGCCAGATTTATTAGATACCTGAAGGTAATTGCATCCACCACTGGAGAATATGTCTCCAGATAATCAATGTCAGTCCTTTGCGAAAAACCTTGTGCCACAAGTCGTGCTTTATATATGACGATTTCACCTTTTTCATTTCATTTTCGCACAAAAACCCATTTGTACCCCACTGGCTTGACACTTTCAGGTGTTTGGACTGTTGGTCCAAAAACTTCACGTTTTTCAAATGAAGTCAATTCCGCTTGAATTGCTTCCTTCCATTTTGGCCAATCATTTTTCTGTCTACATTCATTGACAGATTTTGGTTCAAAATCCTCACCATGTTGCATTATTTCAACAGCAACATTATAAGCAAAAATATTGTCCACCACAATACTATTTCGATTCCACATTTTTCTCGTCAAGACATAACTTATTGAGATTTCTTCATTCTCATTATTTTCAGTTATTTAGACCTTCTGGTCTTATCATTTGTTATGTCTCGGGGCTCTTCTTGAGCAATTTCCTCTATGGTATGATCTTCATGATCATTTGTTCTTTTTCTTTTTCGAGAATTTTTATCTTTTGAACTAATTGACCTATCACGTTTTAAACGTGATTTAGACTCATTTGCTTTAACAATTTGTCCTATCGGGACATCAACTCGAACTGGAGCATTTGTAGCTGAAATATAAGATTTAGTAACCCTTTGAAGGTTAGTAAATGCATCTGGCAATTGATTTGCAACATTTTGCAAATAAATCATCTTTTTAACCTCTTGCTCACATTGATTTGTTTGAGGATCTAAATGAGATAGAGATAATGAATTCCAATCTATCTCTTTTTCCAACTGTTTATGTTCTCCCCCTAATGTTGGGTATACTGATTCATCAAAATGACAATCAGCAAACTTTGCCGTAAATATATCTCCTGTCATAGGTTCCAAATATTTGATAATAGAAGGAGATTCATACCCAACATAGACTCCCAACCTTCTTTGGGGACCCATCTTTGTGCGTAGCGATGGGGCAATTGGAACGTATATCGCGCACCCAAAAATTCTAAGATGGGAAATATTTGGCTCATGACCAAAAACCAACTGTAATGGAGAGAATTCATGATAACTAGTTGGTCTTATGCGCATCAATGCTGCTGCATGTAAAATAGCATGTCCCCATATTGAAACAGACAACTTTGTCCTCATTAGCAATGGTCTAGCTATCAATTGGAGACGCTTAATCAAAGATTCCGCTAGACCATTTTGAGTGTGAACATGAGCAACTGGATGTTCAATTGTTATTCCAGTGGACAAACAATAATCATTAAAGGCCTGCGATGTAAACTCACCAGCATTATCAAGACGAATTGTTTTTATTGCATAATTTGGAAATTGTGCTCTTAATCTTATTATTTGAGCCAACAACCTCGCAAAAGCCATATTGCGAGTTGATAATAAACACACATGTGACCATCTTGTAGATGCATCTATCAAGACCATATAATATTTAAATGGCCCACATGGAGGGTGAATTGGCCCACATATATCACCATGTATACGTTCCAAAAATGCAGGGGTTTCAATCCCAACCTTAGCTGCTGATGGTTTAATAACCAATTTTCCTTGAGAACAAGCAGCACAAGAGAATTTCTTTGAATGAAGAATTTTCTGATTCTTCAAAGTATGCCCATGTGAATTCTCAATAATTTTGAGCATCATATTATAACCGGGATGGCCCAACCGGTCATGCCAAATGATAAAATCATTAGAATTAGAAAGCCCTTTGTTTACTATGGCATGTGATTCAAACATACTAATACTTGTATGGTACAATCCAGAAGAAAATGCGGGTAATTTTTCATGCACATATTTTTTCCCCAATTTTATTGTAGTAATATAAAGGTATTCAACCTTTCCTTCTTTGGCAGTTTCAACATGATAGCCATTTTGGCGAATAACCTTGAAACTTAATAAGTTTCTTTGAGACTTACTACAGTACAATGCATTTTCAATAGTTAATATCGTTCCCCCAGGTAGTAGTAAGACCGCTCTTTCAGAGCCCTCAATTAATTTTGCACTACCAGATATTGTATTAACATAAGCCTTTTTCACAATAAAAGTAGAGAAATATTTCTTTTCTCTTAAAATAGTGTGAGTTGTAGCACTATCAAGAAGACACCATATCTCCATTATTCATCTTGAACCAATTGAAGAGTGGGGAATTTTATTTATCTTCATAAAATAAAAGTACATTATAAGAAATATGAAAAATCAACAACTTTGCAAGAAAATAAAAGTACTTTTTTTTTCCGAATATAAAAACAACATAAGGAAAAACATAACAATAAAAAACACATAAATAAAACAACATAATTATTTTCGCCAATCAAATGATCAAACATTAATTTTGATCTCCAAAGAAGTCTTCAACTTCCAAATGAGTAATATCATCAAGGTCAACAAAATAATCATCTTTTAAACCCAAATTTGCTTCAATATTGTCATCATATTTTTGTGAATGCCCTGCCTCGTCATCATTTTTATAAGTCAAGTGTGACTCCACCCGAGCATTAGAAGAAGATGCACCATTTTTATTTCCTTTTCTTTTCAAGGAATCTTGATAAAGCCTAACAAAATGCTAAGCTGCTCAGCATTCATTCTTCCAATGCCCTTTCAAGCCACAACGATGACAATTGCCTCTTGAAGGATTGCTTTGAGAACCCATATTGTTCTCCCTTTTGTGGCGACCACCACCATGACGATTATTATATCGTCCTCTGCCATTGCCACATCCACGCACATTATTTTGGCCTTGATTTTTATTTTATCTTCTTTCAGACTGGCCATGTGCTTCAACCTCATTTGCTTCCGGTAACGGAGCAGTTCCCGTGGGACGGGCCTCATGATTTTTCAATAAAAGAGTATTATGTTGCTCAGCCACAAGAAGGCATGAGATCAACTCAGAATACTTTTTGAATCCCCTTTCACGGTATTGCTGTTGTAATACCAAATTTGAGGCATGAAAATTTGTGAGAGTCTTTTCCAACATGTCCTCATCTTTTATATCTTCCCCACATAATTTTAATTGGGAAGTAATTTTGTATACATCAGAATTATATTCACATATAGTTTTAAAATCTTGTAACCGCAAGTGAATCCATTCATAACGAGCCCTTGGCAATACCGTTGCCTTAAGGTGGTCATACCTTTCCTTCAAACCAGTCCATAATTCAAGTGGATCTTTCACCGTAAGGTATTCAACCTTCAATCCTTCATCCAGATGATGACGAAGGAAAATCATTGCCTTTGCTTTGTCCTGACTCGACGTTGTATTACCGTTGGTAATAGTGGCACCAAGACCTTTAGCGTCAAGGTGAATTTCAGCGTCGAGTACCCATGACAAGTAATTATTTCCAGAAATGTCAAGTGCCACGAACTCAAGCTTTGATAAGTTCGACATGATAAAACTATCATAGAAAATAATTAAATTAGACTAAAATAAATAGTGAGTACACAAGTAATTAACAAAACTTTTTTTTTCAATGATAATAACATGACACATGTTATTGTATAAAGTAACATCAATTAGTAACTTAATGTGTTAGTATCAAACTTCCGAGCAATTTAAATGAACATTCTGCCTAACATATAACTTAAATAATTTCTAGAAAAATTGCTAGACAATTAAAATTTAACTAATTTAAAATAACATAAACTTTTTGGACTTATATATTTCCACTGTTTAACTACCAAAAATATACACACACTGTTTAACACCTAATCATTTCATAATATGTAGTATATTATATTAGAGTGATTAATAATGAGAATTAAGTATATGAATACATACCAGAAGCTTAACTTGGAAAAATCGAAATGATATTAGAGTTTCGTGCTGATAACGTGTTGTAAAACTTAAGGACAAAAGAACAATATAAAGAGGAAGAGAAGAAGACTATAAGACAAGAGGAACAATATAAACTAACATTCTTTCTTTCAAGTGTATTCAACATTATTCTCAACACCACTATTTATAGGATTACATTGAGGAATACCAAAAGGTGTCATAAACATTACATTAAACCTTGAGAATTACTACCCATTAAGGAGGAAATAAACCTAGGAGTTATGGTCATCCAATTAACCATATTATCAACAACATTACTACCAATAAAGGATGAAATTAACCTAGGAGTTATGGTCATCCATTTGACCACATTATCAACAACATTACTACTCATAAAGGAGGGAAATTAACCAAGGAGTTATGGTCATCCATTTAACCACCAAAATGATTTACAACAAAAAGGCAAATTTTAATCTTTTATAAGCAGACACAATTATTACAACTATCCCACATTAAAGTAAAACGTTATCGTACTTTCTCCCAAAATTTTATAACACTACAACATTCTAATAAAAATTTAATATTTATGTAAACGTTTTTATAGTAGTACCTTTCTTTTGTGAGAAAAGGCATAAATTCACCTTTGAAATTGTATCGAAAAGTCAGTTACACGCTTAAACTATTAAGACAATCTATTAAACACTTATACAACTCAAACGTGAATTTAATACCACCCTGAAAGCTGACATGGAAATAAGATTAAATAAAAAAATAAAAAAGGCACGTTTGAGTAAAAAAAAAAAGGAAAAGGTAGAAGTACCTCTCTAGGCTATGGCTCAAATCCTAGAGACACACCTTAACTAAACTAAGGTCCTATTACCCCCTGAACTCATTTTTTTAAAATTTTGTACACCTTTTTGGCTTATGTGGCATCCAAATATCTCCCACGCGCCTCAATTGCGTGGAGTCACGGGGTGTGCCACATAAGCCAAAAGGTGTACAATATTATATATAAAATGAGTTCGGGGGGTAATAAAACATTAGTTTAGTTAAAGTGTGTCTCTGGAATTTCGGTCATAGTCTAGGGGGTACTTGTGCCTTCTCCAAAAAAAAAAAAAAAGGCAAATTTTTCCCACCCCCACCCTTCTCCTTCACGTTATCCTACCTTTCTTCCTCCTCCATTTTTTTCTTATCACAAACACTTTTTTTGCTATGGCTAATGTGAAAAATAATTATTTTTTTTCATGATAAAAATTTTCAAGAGAAAAATAGAAAATAACATTGCGGGATAGAAGCTCGTCGCAAAGATCGTGAAGTTTTCAATTAACTATATTCACTATTCGAAAAGAATTCTGGCGAGACATCTAAAATTGGTCAATCCTTACTATTCACACATCAAATTCGTCAAGTCAAGAATGGATTATTCAATTTATTTTTGTATTTTTTTTGTTGATTTTGAGCATTTGAAATAAGAAAATTTTCAAATCTTGCTGTGTTTGTGTAAAAAGTTTCTGGGTTTTTGCACAAAATTCATTTTTTAAATGTATGGTCATAGATCTTTCTTCTAGATCTTTCTTCTCTCTCAGAAAAATCCTTTCTAGATTTTCTTCAAAATCAGTAATAGTAAATCGAGCACTAGTTTTTCAATTGCTGACCAAAATATTTGCAAATAAATATTGCAAGTTTTCACAATTCTCCTCTTTGAGCTTGAATAAAATTTGTATATTGTGATAATTTTTTGTGGTGGGTTTGGTGATGGGTGAAAAGTTAGTGGTGGTATGACTTTTAATTTCGATAATGACAGTGAAACTCGTGATTTTGATGTGGATGGTGAATTTATGGTTATGATTGTGATGAATTTCAATGATAGTGATATGGTTTCGATGGTGAATTTAATTAAGTTTATGATGTTTGTTATCGATTTTTAATGATTGCAATGGTTGTGGAAAGATTCCGGTGGTGAAATCTATGGTGGTGGAGAAGTGAATTTGATGATAATAGCAACAATGATAGTGATTTAATGGTGGGTTTGATGGTGCTTATGGAAGAAGAAGAAATAGTGACATGTTTTATTTTTTTAAAATCTGGCGTAATTATTGATATGGCAGTGACATAGTGATGACGTGGCGCGAGTATGAAACACTTTCTCATTATGTGACTAATCGTATATGCGTCAGGATTGAAATAAATTCGCTTTTAAGCAATTCAGGTGTGTAATAGATCATCACAATAGTATAAGTGTGTAACTGACTTTTCGTGACAAATTTAAAAGGGAATTTATGCTTTTACCCCTCTTTTGTTTACACATGTATAGTATGGAGAGGCTTAGTAGTAGTCCTCCTCTAATGGACAAATAAATTACAATAAATTATAATATACATGTAGGGTCTTGTCAAACTCCTCAACACCTTAGGTTAACTGAATGTGATTGGTATATAAATTGCTTTTAAGGAGATAATCTAATTTAGAGCCATCAAATATTGTCTACAACTTATTTGAAACTATAATTTTAAAATAGTCCTATTATTTTTCTAATTACAATAATCCCTTAAAATTTGTACCTTCTGGATACATAAGTCACCATTCGGATACATTAATTCACCATTCGAATACATTAATTCTAATACAAGAAGAATCCTTCTGTTGCGCTAAAAGGGGAATAAAATTTGAAAATCTAATTAAATCCTAGAAATTACGCTTACGTTTCTTCTTACTCTCAATCATGTGATGAGAAATCCACAACAAAGAAATTCAAAATTTCAAATTGCTCCACCCTGTTCAGCAAAGAAACCTTTCAGATTTGATTCAAAAACTTTTGTCAAAATTTTGGGATAGAGAGGTGAGTTATGAAGGATACAAAAGTGATGAAATTGTTGTTAGAAAAACAATTTCAATTCCTTTTGAATCTTCAAGTTCATCGAAGATCTTTTTTTATTCAAGTTGTTTGGATTTGCTATGTATACCCTTTGTTTTTTAATTTTTGAATTTGTATATACATATATAAGGCATGATACATTACTGATTACAAATTGATATATTACTAGTTTGATGTATATGTAATGTGTTTTTAGATCCCAAAATTCTTCTTTCCATTCTTTAAAAAAAAATCTCAATTTTTGAATCAAACTTGTCGACAAATTGTACTGATACAACATGAACATGTTGATCTTGTTGAGACATTCCAGAATTTAAAAAATTGAGGTGATGTATGAACGATACAAAAGTGATAGAATATATTGTTGTTGGTCAAAATATTGGTTTGTGAATCTCAAATCAGTCATTGCAACTGATTTAGAGATCGATGAGTTCAGGAAAAAATTGGAGATCTGATACATCGTTGAGGTCAAGAAACAAGAGTTTGGATTTTCAATGATCTGTTATGCATTGATACAACAAACAAAAAGGTTGAAGAGATGCATAGCTTTGATGGATCATTCATACCTTTTATAATGTTGTGTAATCGTTTTTTGAATTTCGTTTTCGAGATGGATAGATTTATCAATATATTACTATTTATGTATCTTGTTTAAATTGATAAGTGTTGTATTTCTATTAGATACATTCAATAAGAAATTGTTGCCCATAAGATGTTAGGTTTGAGATCGATACATTACCGTTTGGTAATTGTTATGTATCAGATATCTTTAGTATAAATTTGAATTTTCGTATCATGCCTAAACAATTAGTGCATGATACATTATTATTTATGCCACTTATTTTGTTTGAGAGCAGAATCCATATGTATCAGAAATTTGTAGATGAAAAGGTTGCTACATAATAAATAATACATTTGGTAGAATTTTGGTATCATGTATCAATACTAATTAAGGTTATGTATCAAAACTAATATTTAACCACGATATATTATGCATGATAGAATTGTAATGTATCATCATGTTGAAACAAAGGCAGTATACATTAGTTTAAGAAACAAAATCAACTAGATACATTAAAAATCAGAACCTATATGTATAAAAAAAATGAACAACCAAAAGATCGAAAAAAGTCAACAACTAATCAATGGAAAGCAACGAAGATATATCCTTCTCGGATTAATTGGGTAAGCCCAATACTGAAAGATCAAACCAATGGAATGAAGTGTATCAAGACCGCCATTAGAAATTCCTGAAACAATTCCAAATGCACTTTAAGATGAACTCTTTGCATTAGCAACGTTTTCCACCCCTCTTCCAATAAAGAGACCGGGAGTAACAAATTCAATAATTTTTCAAGATGAAAAAACTAAAAACTAAATAAAATAAATTGAAAATTGAAGTGATGGGAAAGTAATCTATCTCTTGAATAACTTGAAATCATTAATTGGAAAACAAAAAAAAATGAAATTAAAAAATGGATTAATGTAGGTAACTGTAGAGAGATTTGTGGCTTGAAAAAAGGAAAGAAAATCATGGGTATGAGATTTCAAATTAATGTATTCGGAAAAGGGAATGATGGGCAAAATAGGGGATTTTTGATAATTTTGAAATGGTAGGAAAAATAAGAAAATATGATAATAAATGGTGTGTAATTAGGTAATTTTTCCTAAAATAAAATGGAGGGAGTAACACAAGATTAGTTATACACTCACGAGACACAAAATATCAACTCGGTGA